CTGCCCAGTTCCGTTAGGAGCAAAGTGGCTTTGGGCCCGAGCTCCACCGGCTGCTGTGCGCTGGGTTCCGGTAGCTCAGCCTTGGCAGCAGGGGGTGGGCACCCACGTGGGCCCTTGGGGCAGCGCCAGACCTGTGCCCAGGAGGCACCCCCAGCCGTCAGCACAGGCCTGGGGGGGCCGGCCACACCCAGCACTCCATGAGGGTGGGGGGCCGTGGGCAAGGCGGGGGGGGTTGCGGAGATGGAGGCAGCGGCTGTGCCCGCCCTGGTGCCAGCTCGGCCCCTGGAGGCGTCTGTCCAGCCCCGACCGGCTGGGGCACAGTGACACTCTCAGCAGGATGGGGCTGGTGTGGACCCCTGGGCGCCCCTTGGGACCTCTGTGTCTGCCCAGTGTCCGTGCCCAGGTGACACTGCCCCATGCCTCCAGACGAGGGTCCTGCCACACCCACCACTCAGCTGGGCAGGGGGCACTGGCCCTGGGCGCCTGCACAGCTGCAAGGCACTGTTGCAGGTGGGGAAACTGAGGCCTCACGACCCAGGGGCCACTGGGACACCAGGGACCAAGGTGCCAGCTGTCCCTGCACACCGACCAGGGCCTGGCCAGCCTGGGGAGCACCTCAGTGGCCATGTGTCTGCAGCGTGCAGGGCCTGAGCCCCCTCCCCAAGGCCACCCAGAGGGGCAGGAGGGGAGGCTTGGCGTGGGCAGCAGAGACTGAGGGGCTGCTCAGCCCCCATGGGTCCAAGCTGGTGTCCTCCCTGGGGAGGTGGGAGCTCAGAAGCCTGGTACAAGTGGCCACAGTGGACAGGACAGGCCACCTGTCCCTTCCCAAGAGAGCATCAGACACAGAGCCCAGCCCCCGTGGGGCGCAGAGCCCAAAGGGCTACCCCTCCCCCAGTGTGATGGTCTCTGTGTGTGGGGGGGTAATTCACGCGGAGGGCTTGTGCCTGGTGACCTCACAATCCCATCCTGCTCAGCGTGGCTTCAGGGTCAGCCGTCACTTCCGGCCACTCCTGAATGCTCTTGACCTGTCCTTGTCGCCTGCCCCCCTCTCCCACAGGCCGTGGGTGCTTTGCTCTCCTCGAGCGCCCCCTGGTGGCTATCCTAAGCGCACTGCCTGGGCCTCACATGGATCCCTGGCCCCTGACGCCGCAGCCACCGCTGGGGCCGAAGCCACAGCTCCCTGTCCCCGTCTCTGGCCTTCTCCGCGCCCCTCCTGGCTGCCACCTGCTCCTCTCCGGCTCTGCTGGTTGTGGACGTCAGCCCTCATCCATCTGGGACATCTAGAGTCTGATGAGGGACAGGTAGACAGGTGCACCTCGCCTCCGGTCCCTACAAACCACCATCGAGAGCGGGAAGTCGGTCCCCGCACCGCGTGCTGCCGGGAGCTGCGGCTGGGGCCCGTGGTGCCATCCGGTGCTGCCTCTGGCTGGCCGGTGCTGTGTCCGGGGACGACCGGCTGTTGCTGCTTTGTGTGTGTTCACTGGCCCTTCGGGATTTTCTAGAAATGACCCAGGCCCCAGGAGCAGCCAGGTCTCCCCTCCCCCGGAGACGGCCCACCTCCTGCTGCCTTCTTGGACCCAATGTGGGCTGGGGCCGAGCCCTGCCAAGTCTGGAGCCGTGGTGAGGGTGCACGGTTTGCACGTGCGTGCCAGGCCCCCCATTCTGCAAAGCCTCTGCCTCCCCCAGCTGCATCCTAACGGGAGCCTCGTGGGGCGGCGTTGCGTGGACAGACCTGAGCCCATTGGCTGCCCTGCCCACACCCAGAAAGTCTGCACCTGCTGTCCACGCCCTCTCCCAGCAGGTGGCACCCTGAGCAGGTGCCGAGCTCCATGGAACACCTTCTGCTGATTCTCTCTCTCTCGCGCGCACACACACACACACACACACACACACGGCCATGGCTGTCTTTGCGCTCAATTGGGCGCAGCCCCCACCGGGTTAGGCCGGCATTGGCTTTGACTTGTGATTTGGAGAGCACACATTTTAGGTGGCACCTGTGCGTGCCGGTCATGGGGCTGTAATTTCCTGTCCTTGCAGAAGGACCGAGCGCGTCCTGGGTTCGTGAGCTGGAGGGGGCCATGCTCCGTCCCTTCCAAGTGCCCGGGAGCGGGCGATGGGGCCCCGTGGGCGAGGCCACTGTTCGGACGTCCACCTCGCCAAGGTGCCTGCGAGGCTGCAGATGACAGCCCGGGAGCTGGGGTGCCTGCTGCCCACCAGGGAGCTCAGGTGTTGCTCTTGGCTGCCGGCCTGGTCTGGCTCAGCCCTGGCCATTTTGCGATCATTTGGGGAGTGAACCAGCGGCTGGAGGAGCTGTGTCTCTGCCTTCCAAGTAAAAAATGAAAACGAGAAAACGAAGTTCCTGGGACAGGATGCCCATGGCAGGCTCACCGAGCCTCAAGGTCAGGTGCAGCCCCTGGCCCAGCACCCGAGCAGGCGCCCAGTGGACTGGAGGTGCCCACTGGACTGCGGCCGCTTCCCACCTGTAGGATCTCCCATCCCCGCCCCGCGGTCTGTTTCTCCAAGTTCTCGCTACATAGTTGCTTTGTCTGCGGTTAATTCTATTCCCCCCTCCCATTTCCTGTCTAAAAATCACCAGTGGCTGGGCTCTCTCACTGGTCTTCAAGGGCGGAAATGATCATTTCTCAAAGGCCCCATTATTCTCTGTCTGCTGCACGCGAGGTTTACATGCATGTAAGTGCGCGTGCGCACGAAGCCACGTTAGGAATCCATGTGTCGTGTGAACGGAGGTTACAGCAGCTGGCTCATCCCGAGGTCTTGTTTGCTCAGCCTGTGGGTGCCAAAAGTGTTGGAAACCACCAGCTACAATGTGTCTCAGCCTCAAGTATCTCTCATTGTCCCAGGAATTTTTTTATTTATTTATTTTTTTTGAGACAGCTCCCATCTGCTGGTTCACACTCCACTTGCCCACAGTGGCCAGGGCGCGGGGGCTGGGAGCCAGCACCCAGGTCTCCTGCCTGCGTGGCAGGAACTGTCATGTGGAGCTGACTCGAACCCAGGCCCTCAGTGTGGGAAGTGGGCGTCCCCACCACAAATGCCCGCCCCTGTGAGCCCTGAGCGCCTGTGGTTGGTGCGGCTGTGCGGGCAGGGGTGGGGCTCCGACCCCAGCCTCCCTGAGCCCGTTCACCGCCGAGACTTGGCCGCGTCTCACTGCTGTCGCACGCCACCTTGGTGACTGTCTACATGGACCCGCGCTACGCTTGCGTCTCTCCCGGCTGCCGGCCTCCCCGGGACAAGGCATGCTTCTCCCGGAAGCTCTGGTTAAGCCTCCGTCCGTGTCCTGTCTGTGGAGCGACGCCCCTCTGGCCACACCCACAGCCGCCTCGCGCACGAGCAGGACGAACCTAGCACCAGAATCAGCAGGAAAAGCCGGCTCCTCCCGGGTGGGGTTCACCGGGCAACGCCTGGCCCCTTGGACTGACTGGCTTTGCAGAGATGGGGGCTGGGCAGGACACAAAGTCCCCCAGGGACGTGGCCGAGGCTGGGGTGTGGCGGGGCCGAGGTCCGCCCTGCCCCCTGCCCCTGCCGGGCCTGGAGCCCCCGCTGTGAGGACGTCTTACCGCGCGGCCTCCCCCGTTGGCTCCGGACCCCAGCAGGGGCCCGCACAGAGCAGCACACACGGGCACCAAAGCCACCACTCCTTTAAGTCGCCGGGTTTGCTACAGTACCTGAGCCGGCCCTGCAGGGGCGGCGGGCTGCAGGGGCAGAAAAATCTTTACATAAATACGGGCCAGGTGGACGGGGCCACAGACGTCCAGGGCCTAGCACCAGAGGAACCCGCTCTCAGTCCCAGCCAGGGCCGTGCAGCCCGAGGCCCAGCGGGGCTCCAGAGCCGGGCCGGGCAGGGCCTCTCCTCCCGGCCACACGAGCGGCTGCACAGCTGTCCACGGTCTGCCCACGCCCTGCGCAGACAGGGGCACGCGGGGTCCCTCCTCAGTTGTCACCAAAGGCTGGGGCCCTGCGGGGTGGGGCCGCCTCTGGGTTGGTGCTTTGAGGTTCCACCGCTGGGCCTGGGCGTGGCTCTGCTGGAGGCTGGCGGTGTGGCCTCTGGGGAGGAGGAGGAAGGCGGTCAGCCCCGGGGAAGCTGGGAGCCCCCCAAACGCCACCCCCACCTCTCTCAGCCCACCGCTCAGCCCACTCAGGGGGCAGCAACCGGCCCCCGCCCAGCTCACTCCCAGCCCTTCCCTGAAATCCACACCCTGGATGGGCCAGAGCCACCTGTGCGTCCTCCAGGCTTGGCCACAAGGCCACCCTCCTGGCCAGTCTGGGGGACAGACCCCCCCACCCCTCACCTAGGCCCCGGCTGCGGCCTGGGGCGCAGTACCACATGTGGCCACTAGATGCCGCCATGGACAGTGGCATGTCCAGAATGCGCCCACAGCTGTTGCAGGCCCTCCCCACCCCGCTGGCTCCTGCCCTCCCAGCTCCCTCCACCAAAAGCCTCCCCAGCCCCTGCGTCAGGGGACACCAGGGGGCCTGGGCTGGCGGCGGTGCATGGGAGGCACAGCCTGGCAGACCTCGGGGCTCAGGGGCCGCCTTGTGTGTGTTGCACGTGGGTGCAGGCACACGCACTGCGGCATATGTGTTGCTGGAGCATGTGCACACGCATGCACACGGACGCACAGAGGGTGCCGGGACACACGCACACAAATGCACGGGCTAACACGCACAGGCTGACGAACACACGGTGTCCACATGCATGGGCACGGACACGGGTACACACACACTGGGCAGCACAGGTGCACACGCACACACTAGGCAGCACAGGTGCACACGCACACACACAGGTGCACATGCGCACACGCAGGTGCACACACACACACTGGGCAGCACAGGTGCACACGCACAGCACACACACAGGTGCACACGCACAGCACACACACAGGTGCACACGCACACACTGGGCACACACACAGGTGCACACAGGGTGAGAGGACAGTCTGGAGGCTCCCCCTGCAGCTCCCCGCCCACCCCGCCCCTGGGCACCAGGCAGGGGCAGCCTGGCCCAGCCGTCTCTGCTGTGCGGGTCGGGGGACGGTGTCCGGCCGGAAGTGGGTCTGGGGGACACAGGGCCCTCCCACCCTCCCCGGGAGCCTGACTCACCTTCCCGGCACGTGGGCCCTGTGTCGCCGTCCACGCAGTGGCACCGCCCGCTGATGGGGTCGCACTCGGCCCCGCCCCCGCAGTCACAGCGCAGGGCACAGCCGGGCCCAAAGCGGCCCCTTGCGCAGTCTGCAGCGGCGGGAAGCGAGAGAGGCCCAAGCCCTGTGTGACCGCCTGCGGCCCTGCCCGGCCCTGCACGGGGTCAGGGCTGAGGCCTCCCCAGCCCAGCGGGGCCCCCAGGACTGCGGGCAGCTGAGGGCAGGCCTGGCTGGCACACCGGGCTCCACCAACAGGACCCGCAGTTGCCACAGAGGGGCCACCCAACCCCCATCTGGGGCAGGACCCGACTCACCCCGGTCACAGGTGGCTCCCGTGCGCCCCGGTGGGCAGAGGCAGAGGCCGGTGGCGGGGTGGCAGGGGGCACCCCCGGCACAGTCACACTGCTGCCGGCAGCCCTCGCCAAAGGAGCCTGGCTCGCACCCTGGGCGGGGACAGCGAGTTCAGCGTCTCCCCGCTCCTGCGCCCGGACTGGACAGGCGGGGCCACGGAGCACTCACCCCTCTCACAGAGCTGGCCGCGGGAGCCGGCGGGGCACAGGCACCGGCCGCTGACGGGGTCACAGGCGGCTCCGTGACGACATCCACAGACCCCCTGGCAGCCAGCCCCATGGAAGCCGGGGGGACAGGCTGCGGGGGGACCCTGGTCAGAGCTTCCAGGGTGCCGGGTGAGGGAGGACCCTTCCGCCCGGGCCGAGAGAAGCCCCTCCTGTCTGTCCCTTCTCCTCCCCCGGCCCTGGCTCCTGCCCTGCCCCACAAACAGCGGCTCAGAAAGCGGCCGTGACCGCCACAGGCTCAGGTCAGCGCCGACCACCCACGGGGCCCCAGGACTCACCGTGCTCGCAGGCCTGGCCGTAGAAGCCAGGGCCACAGCGGCAGGCGCCCGTGGTGGGCTCGCAGGTGCCGTTGTTCCGACAGGTGCACTCCAGGCGGCAGGCGGCGCCATAGCGCCCCGGGGGGCAGGCTGGGGGCAGGACGGACAGGCAGGACAGTCCCTCGGGCACCGGCCTGAGCAGGGGCCCCGCGGCCTGGTCCAGCCCCACCACAGCCCCGCAGTGCAGCTGGGACATGGGCACTCACCCAGCTCACAGTGCAGCCCTGTCCAGCCCAGGCCACAGGAGCAGCGGCCGTCGGCGGGGTGGCACAGGCCCCCATTTCTGCAGGCGCACTGGTGCTCACAGCCCACGCCAAACCGGTTCTGGGGGCAGTCTGGGGGGCAGAAGCAGGCACTGCCAGGGGCTCTGGCCAAGGACCCGCCCTGCAGGTGACCCCACCCACCCAGCACACACAGACAGGGAGCGACGCCACTCCATCCGTCCTCTCTCAGATGCCCGGCTGGGTCTAGGGACTGCGGGTGACCGGTGATAAAGGGGCCAAGGGCTGCGGGCATCTGCCTGGCTGCTGGGCAGGGGATCAGGGCAGGCTTCCTGGAGGCGGTGGCACCCTGCACACAGGTCCCCGGGGAGCAACGCCCAGACTCCGGGCTGAGGGGCAGCGTGGCAGGCGGGCTGCGGACCTGGAGGCTGTGCCGTGGCTGGCGGGGGCCTGGAGTCCTCCAGCTCCTGGGCCTGTGCTGCCCAGACTCAAGGAGCCTCAGAGGCTGAGAAGGTGGGGTGCACGGGGAGCCCCTCGATGAAGACTCTGAGGGGCGAGAGGCCCCGGGGGGAAGCTTGCGGCCGCCACCATCACAGGGACACAGAGGGGCATGCGGAGGCCACGTGGTTGGTGGGGACAGGGCTTGAAGGGGCCTGTGCCCACCACTCCCCCAGCAGGCCAGCACGGTCAGCACAGCAGGGGGGCTGGTCCCCTCCTCCTCCCAAAGGCCACGTGGGGAACCCACCCCACGGCAGCCGTGGGTGTGAGCGGAGCACATGGCGCCCGGGTCTCGCCCACGCTCATTGAGTGACTGTGATGCCCACGTGCCTGTCCCAGAGCGGTCACTCACCCTGCTCGCAGTGGACGCCAGCCCTCCCTGGGGGGCAGACGCAGGCGCCGGTCACAGGGTCACAGGCCGCACCCGGCCCACACTGGCACACGTGGGCACAGCTGGGACCCCAGCGGCCTTGGGGACACGCTGCAGGGAGGCAGCCAGTGAGGCCGGCCCCAGCCAGGTCCTGTAGGCGGCCTCCCCCTCTCTCTGCCTCGGCAGCGCCCGGGACAGGCCAGGACAGCCGGTGTGCCCTCCCGCCCAAGTCTCCCTCCACCGCAGGCCCTGCAGGCTCCCGGATCCCCGCCCCACGCAGCCAACTCTGCTGGTGCCGCAGCTACAGTGGGTATTTGTGTCCACTGTGGCCGCCCGGCTGGCCTGGGGCAGAGCTGGCTGGTCGGGGCAGTGGGGTCCCACGGATGCCCCCTTGGCCAGGCCCAGCTAGGAGAAGCTGGGAGGGAAGGGGCTGCCCTGGGCCCGGGTACTCACTGAGGCTGCAGTCTGTGCCCAGGAACCCGGGGGGGCAGAGGCAGGCCCCCGTGGCCGCGTCGCAGGAGCCCCCGTTCAGGCACCCACAGAGCTGCGTGCAGCCCGGTCCGTAGTGCCCAGGCGGGCAACCTGCAGGGAGAGGCCTGCTGCCAGGGCTGCAAGCGGCAGCCATGCCCCCGCCAGCACCCCAAACCCAACACGGCCGCGCCTCCGGCCCCAGACCACGGCCCTCCCAGGCCACGGGAGAGTCCCCCAACCCGCTCACGGTGCTGGCAGCTGGGGCCGTGGTAGCCGGCGGTGCAGGTGCAGGCCCCCGTGGCCGGGTGGCAGGCCTGGTTCTCTCCGGGACACTGGCACGTGTGCCGGCAGTCTTCCCCAAAGGTGCCGGAAGTGCAGGCTGCCAGAGGCAGGGCGGGGTCTGTGCTGGCTCAGGCCTGCGGGGAGCAGCCTCCCAGGAGCGCCCCGTCCGGTCCCCCGGGGGTGAGCCTACCCCGCTCGCAGCCAGGGCCGGTGACACCAGGTGGACAGCGACACTCCCCGGTGACATGGTGGCAGGCGGCACCCGGCGGGCAGCGGCAGCGCTGGGCACAGGCCACTCCGAACCAGCCTCTGGCGCAGGCTGCAGGAGGGACACGGGCTGGGGCGGCTCCCTGGGGTCCAGGGGAGGGCAGTGCTCGGGCCAGCCCAGGCCCGAGCGGCCAGAGTGCAGGACCCACAGCCCCTCCCCCGCCCAGGCTGCCATCTGTCCCCCTGTCCGTCCCCGCAGGCAGCTGAGCCAGGGCCACGCTCACCGTCCTCACACCGCGGGCCCCGCCACCCTGGGGGGCAGCGGCAGGTCCCCGTGACGTGGTGGCACGTGGCCCCCCGCCGACAGGTGCAGTGCTCCTCACAGCGAACCCCAAACGTGCCCTCGGCGCAGGCTGTGGTGGAGACAGGCGGGGCCTGAATGCGGCGGCCCACGGACCCCACGGGTGGCAGGGCCATGGGGAGATGGCCCCTGGGCAGCCAGGCTGGGGAGCTGCCGGGCCGGCCCGAGAACCCAGGCCTTGGCCCAGCCTCCTCCAGTTCCGGCCACTGCCCCAGGGGCTGGCGGGCTGAGGACGGCCCAGGCCCGGCAGGCCCTGAAGCGTTCGATGCCGGCCGAGTGGCCAGGGCCCTGCAGACGCAGAGACCATTAGTGCACCGCTCCCCCGGGCAGGGCCCCGGCCAGCATAAGCCTCAGGACCAAGTGGGCAGGGGGTTCTGCAGCCAGGATATGGGCACTGCCCCCCCCAACATCTGGGCCCCCGCTCCCAAGGGCCGGGCCAGGGGCCCCACAAGCACAGCCCCCCCAGGGCCAAGCACCCATCGGGCTGCTCCTGGCCAGCTCAGCCAGCACCCGGAGGGAGGCGGGGCCGGCTCCTGACCACCCAGTGAGCCCCCAGCCGTGCCCTCCGTCCCCGCCCACTCACGGCTCTGGCATTGGTGCCCGGTCCAGCCAGCAGGGCAGAGGCAGTGGCCTGTGATCCGGTCACAGAGGCCCCCGTTCAGGCAGCTACAGCTGTGCCGGCAGCCGGCTCCGAAGTGGCCCGGGAGGCACTCTGCAGGGCGGGCACCGGGGTGAGCGCCAGTCCCCCAGGTCAGGGCTGTGTCCACGGGACGCAGGAGCCCCCAGTCCCCGCCTCCGGCACCAGGGCCCTCAGTTCCCACGTCCCGGGGGCCAGGCCCAGGGCACCCCCACCTTGGCCACCCTCACCGTTCTCACAGGCGGGGCCGGCCCAGCCCTCGGGGCAGGTGCAGTGGCCTGAGGCAGGGTCACAGCTCCCTCCATTCTGGCAAAGGCAGGCCTGTCCACAGTTCTCACCGTACAGGCCGGCGGGGCAGGCTGGGGCGGGAGGAGAGTGGAGCAGCCTGCAGGTGTGACCCGTGGGGTCCCCACGGGCGGCCACAGGCGCCCGCCCCCCCTCCGACGCCCAGCTCAGGCATGGGGTCAGGCAGCGTGTTCGGGGGCTGCCTCGGAGACAAGCAGCGCCACCCAGCTGCAGGGCACGTGCCGCCGGGCGCCGCCCTCCGTTCCAGGCACTGTCCCTCCCTCCTCCAGGATCCAGGATTCCCCGGGCACGGAGAGGCCCCGGCCCTTCCTGACTGCTGCCCCAAGGGAGGCCGGCCCTGCGCTCCTGGGCGGGCAGGCCCCATCCAGCCGGGGGCACAGCGGCACTGCCCGTGGACGGGGTCACAGGAGGCCCCGTTGAAGCAGGCACAGGCTTGGCTGCAGTTATGCCCGTAGGTGAAGGCTGGGCAGGCTGCAGGTGGGGACGGTGGTCAGGGGCTGCGGGAAGTGACCCCAGGGCAGGTCTGCCAGGGTCCCCGGGCCGCTGCGGCCAGTCAGTCCACCCTCCCGTGGTGACCGACTCGGCAGAGCAGCCCTGCAGAGGGACAGGGGCCCTCAAGCGAGCAGCATCCTTGGGGCGGCTGCCCGCACCCTCCCGGCAGCACCCGGGGCGGGGCAGGGACCTCACGCACTCTGGGTGCAGCGGGGGCCCCGCCGGCCTGCGGGGCAGGTGCAGAGGCCGCTCACGGGGTCGCAGGGGGCTCCAGCGGTGCAGTTGCAAGGGTTGCGGCAATCCAGCCCGAAGAAGCCAGGCGGGCAGGCTGCAGCAGAGAGGCAGCCGTGGGCGCCCAGAGGTCCCGGGACCCTGCCCCCAGGTGAGGCCCCGCCCCCGGGCCGAGCCCGCCCGCACCCCACTCACCACGCTCGCAGAAGCTCCCCCTCCAGCCAGGCTGGCAGGTGCAGGCCCCGCTGATGTGGTCGCAGGCTGCCCCGTGCTCACACCGGCACTGCTGCCCACAGCCGGGCCCGAAGGAGCCCTGGGGACACCCTGAGGCGCAGCACAGCCCGGGCCCATCAGCCAGGGCACCTAGAGCCTGGCCAGGCCTGCCCCGGCCTCACAGCCTCTCCCAGCCAGGGCCCAGGACTTGAGGACAGGACCTGGCTCTCCCTACCTGCAGGGGGCCTGGATCCACCCCACCCCCACGCCTCCTCTCCCCAGCTAGGAGCCCCTCTTACCACCTCTGGGGCCTAGACTCCCCCCATGCCTCCTCTCCCAGCTAGGAGCCCCTCTTACCACCTCTGGGGCCTAGACTGCCCCCGCCACGCCTCCTCTCCCAGCTAGGAGCCCCACTTACCACCTCTGGGGCCCGGGACCTCCCCCAGGGTGACCCCAGCCCCTCTCTCAACTAACTCGGCCTTGGGAGACACAGGCCGGGGTCTGGGGTCTAAACTGCCACCTGCCCCCTCCCCAAGGGAGCGGGACAGGCCCCGCGCCTCCGAGCCTGCTAACCCAGGTGCGTCTTACATTAGACACAGGTAGACAGGAGGAGGTCTGACCTAGGCTGTGGGGGAAGCCCAGGTTGGGACAGGAAGGCAGGGTCCAGGCAGGTGCGCAGGCCTGTGCACACCTCCGGGGCACACCTAGGGCGGGGCTGGGACTCACGCTGCTCGCACCGCGGGCCCACGTAGCCGGCCTCGCACAGGCACCGGCCGCTGACGGCGTCGCAGCTCACGTGGCTGGCGCTGCAGTTGCAGGCGTGGCTGCAGTCCGGCCCCCAGTGCCCGCTGGCACAGGCTGCAAGAGAGCCCGGGGCACCGTGGGACACAGAACCAGGGCAGAGCAGGCTCCCCAGAGGGGCGGGACGGCCGGACAAAGCCGGGCCAGGGCCCTACCTCGCTCGCAGCTGGGGCCGGTCCAGCCAGGGGCACAGCTGCAGTGGCCGGTGGCCGGGTGGCAGTGGCCGTCGTTGGCACAAGAGCACCTCGCCTGGCAGCCGGCCCCAAACCAGCCTGCTGGGCACGCTGTGGCAGCGGAGGGAGGTGAGCGTGGGGGCCCGGCCACCCACGGCCACAGGCTCGGCACGAGGGCGGGCTCCGGCTGCACTCACCGTCCTGACAGCGGCTGCCGACGAAGCCGGGCTGGCACAGGCAGGCTCCGGTCTCAGGGTTGCAGCTGGCACCGTGCTCGCACGGGGGGCAGATCTGCTGGCAGCCAAGTCCCCAGCGACCCTCGGGACAATCTAGTGTCCCGCCCCAGGCCCGGTCACAGCGGGAAATGTGTGCCTGGCACAGATCCGGCCCCCTGTGCCCTGCTCCCCTCTAAGCCGGCCCAGGGAGGGGGAGGCTGGGTCATCGCAGCCGCAGGCCCCACCCACGGGACGGGAGCCCAGCCCCAGGTGGGATGGGGGCCACGCAGTGAGCAGGCCGCTCTGGGCTCTGAGCCACTGCCAGGGCCCTGGGTCAGCAGAGCTAGGGCAAGGGGCTCCCGGAGACAGCGATCCCCAGACATGATCCAGGCTGGGGTTCCCAGACGCGGAGGTGGGGGCGGGATTACCTGTCACTCACCTGCCCCACAGTCCTCTCCAGCCTTCCCCGGCGGACACTGGCACTGTCCCGTGACTGGGTGGCACGGGGCCCCCCCACAGGAGCAGGAGCCTGAGCAGTTCCCACCAAAGGTCCCCGCCGGGCACTCTGCGGGGGGCAGGAAGGGTCAGCTCCCCAGTGGGGTTGCCCAGCCCGAGCCTTCCCTCCCCCTCCCTGGGGGCTCCAGCCACCGTGCCCCACCCAGGCCCCTGCTCGGCTCGAGTTCCATGGGCCTGCTGAGCACAGAGGGGCCGGGAGGGGTCTCAGAACTGTGCAGGGGAGGGGGAGAGTGGTCTTGGGTACCTTGGGGGGGCAGGGCAAGGGCAAGGCTGACTGGCAGAGCAGAGGCCTCCAGGACCCTGGAGAGCTCCCGGGAGCGGGCAGCCGCTCCACCATCCTTCCTGGCTGTGGTTCCCCGATCCCGACCCCCACCCACCGCAGTGCCTCTGCTGGTCGAGTCACCTGGTGCCCGTCCGGTCCCTCCCATCCCTCCTCCCAGGGTCTGCCCACCCCACCGTCCCCGGCTGTGGCCTCTCCTGGCAGGATGGGAGCCGGGGTGGGGGTCAGAGTGAGCCCAGAGCGCTCTCACACAGGGGCTGGGGCCCCACACACCCAGCCGCTCGCTGGCGTGAGCAGGAGCCCAGGAGCCAGGCGTCCTGCGGAAGGGGCTGCTGTGGGGCCTCAGGAGCCCCCGCGGGCGCTGCAGGGCCTGCCCCAGCTGCTCCCGGGGCCTGGCAGAGCCCTGGGTGCTGCGGCCCTGAGCAGCCACCCCTGGGCCTGCCTCGGGGGAGCCAGGCCTCCCAGGGACACTCAGGGGATGACGTCGTGGCCCACTCCTGCCGGGTCTCGAGGGCCGGCCGCAGCACTCACGTGAAGGGTGCCCACTGCTGTCCCCCACTACCCCAGCCCGGCCTCTCTTCTCCCCAACTCGGCCACGAAGCAGCCCCTGCCCGGCCTCCAGCCCGAGCTCGCCTGTGAGCCTCCGTGGGTGACTGACTGCGAAGGCGCCCGCCCCTTCTCTGGGCTGCACCCTTGAAGAGCCAGACCGGTGACTACACGGCGCCGGCAGAGGAAGGGGCCACGTGCCAGCCAGGCCCCTCCCACAACGCAGGGAGCCCCGGGGCCAGCCCTCACCTTGGCCACAGTCCTCCCCGTGGTAGCCAGGGGGACACTGCGTCCGACACTCGCCGCTCACAGGGTCACAGGCCACGCCCGGAGGGCAGGTGCACACCTGCCGGCACCCCGGCCCAAAAGAGCCCGGCTCGCACTCTGCAGGTGGAGAGGGGCGGCCGGGTGGGTTCTGCGGCCCCGGGCTCCCCCGCCGCAGCCCCACGCCTCCACTCACCTGCCTGGCACCGCTCGCCGCGGAAGCCGGCCTTGCAGGAGCAGCTGCCGTCCCGGGGGTCGCAGGACTGCGTGTGGCGCTGCTCGCACTGGCACTCCTCGGAGCAGCCGGGCCCGAAGGCCCAGGGCGGACAGGCTGCGTGCGCCACAGAGCCATGAGCGGCGCCCACCCCTCGGGCCCTGCCTCCCCTCCCCGGCACGTTCTGGGTCCGCGGCCCCTCCTCTAGAGCGCCCACTTGACACAGAGTCGAGGTCCCAGGGCTTGCTCCGGGTGCTGCCACTTCCCAGCTGGGAGCAGCTCGAGCCCCAGCCTCCCCCTCCCTGGGAAGAGCCCTCCAAACCCCAGGCCTCGCAGCCTCACTGCCAGGAGTGACCACGATCAAAGCGAGCCCTGCACCCCTGGAGGTCTCCCAGCTGTCCCGGGGGCCAGTGTGGCTGCAGCAGAGGGGTTGCCACTTGGAACCTGCAGAGCTGGGCTGGCACCAGCCCCCGCCCCAGCTGGAGGCCTCGTCCCATCCTCGGCAGGGCCAGCGGGACTCACCGAGGTGGCAGAAGCGGCCATAGAGCCCCGGCTCGCAGAGGCAGGCCCCATAGAGGCGGTGGCACCGGCCCCGGTTGGCACAGTGGCATTTCTTGCGACAGTGCTTGCCGTAGAAGCCCTTGGGGCAGCCTGGGGGAGAGGGAGCCTGTGAGCACCCAGGGGGCAGGGACCCCCCTTCACAAAGGCCCTACTGAGAAGATGCTTGGGGGCACCAGGGCCCAGCCGGGGCGAGGGACGGGGTCCCGGATGTGGCCGACCACCGCAGCCCCACCGGGCCACGTCCTCAGCTCTCCACGGAGACCCACGAAGCTCCCATCCACTCTCCCCAGCGCTGCCCTGACCTCCGCCCACAGCGGTCACCACGCCCGATCTCCGGTCCTCGTGCCCCCACCTGGCCAGGCTCCCGGCCCGAGCCTCGGGAGGCCCTGGGCTGGGAAGGGGCTCCGGCTCTCCTGGCCCACACCCCTCCTACAGCGGGGCTCGGGGGTTGAATGGGAGAGTCTGGGTCCCAGCCCCAGGACCTTGAGACAAGCTCGCCTGTATCACCAGGCGGCCACTGCGTCCATCAGTGAGGCGGGCTGGGGGTGGGGCCGGCAGAGGACAGGGTGCGGAGGAGACGCCAGGCCTCCGGGACAGGCTCTGCTGACCGCTGCCCTCGGACACAGTGGCTGTGTTCTCCGGCCACACGGCAGACAGCTCTGACCCTGACCCCTGAACTCAGACTCAGCAGCGCCGCCCAGTCACATAGGATGCAGCCACCGCCCATCGCAATCCCCGCCCACAAATCCCCGCCAGTCCCACACAGCTCCCCTTGAATGCTCCCAGGGCCGGGGAGCTCACTACCTCACCAAGGGGCCATTCCAAATGAGCTTCACCCCTACCCTAGGTGGGCCCTGGGAGGATGAGAAACAGTGAGAGGCCCCTGCCTCTCCCCACTAGGGCCTCGCTCCCTCTCAGACACGACCCAAGGCCTCCCACACAGGACCAGGAGAGCAGGGGCCAGGAGGGAGGGGTGAGGAGGGCGGGTGAGGCGGGCAGGGGTGAGATGGGCTGGGGGCCAGGAGGGAGGGTACAGGAGGGCAGTGGTGAAGACGGAGGGGTGAGGGGGACCTGGGTGAGGACAGAGGTGAGGTAGGAGGGGTGGGGCGGGCTGGGGGCCAGGAAGGCAGTGGCAAAGAGGGAGGGGTGAGGGGGCCCAGATGAGGAAGGAGGGGTGAGGAGGGAGGGGTGAGGAGGGAGGGGTGAGGCGTGAGGGGCAGGAGGCAGGGAGTCTGAGCCAAGCTTGCCGCTGCTCTCCCTGCTCCGCCCACCCTGACCCCCGGCACAGCAGGGGCCCACGCACCGTCCTCGCAGTGGGCTCCGCTGACCCCTGGTGGGCAGCGGCAGGCGCCCGTCACGGGGTCGCAGGTCCCACCATTGTGGCAGCTGCAGGAGGAGCTGCAGTTCTTCCCGAACGTTCCCGGAGGACAAGCTGGGGGCGGCCAGGCACAGGTCAGCGGGCAGCAGGACAGGGGCCCACGCCCCACCCCTCGGAGACACCCCGCCCCCGGAGGGAGGGCCGCCCCGGCCTTGGGAGGGTCCCGCCCCGCCCCGCCCCGCCCCGCCCCGGCCTTGGGAGGGTCCCGCCCCGCCAGCCCCGCCCGCCCGCAGCCCGCCCGCCCCGCCCGCCCGGCCTTGGGAGGGTCCCGGCCCCGCCAGCCCGCCCGCCCGCCCGCCCGCAGCCTCACTCTCGTTGCAGACCAGCCCGGTCCAGCCCTCAGGGCAGTCGCAGCCGCGCAGGCCCGGGAGGCAGGTGGCCCCGTGGCTGCAGTCCTCGCAGGTCAAGCTGCAGTCGGGGCCGAAGGAGTCTCCCAGGCAGACTGGGGGCAGATGGCGTGGGGCTCAGGAGCGGGCCGGGCTCCGGAGGCCGCCGGCGGGCAGGGCGGGCTGGCCCGGACCGTCACAGGCGGCCACTCACCGAACTTCTCGGCGAGGGTGTGCTCGCCCCGCAGCTCGGCCTCCTCCTCGGCGCCCGCGTAGTCGTCTTGGAACAGCTGCAGCAGCTCGTCCGCCAGCCCCGCGACGTGGGGCAGGGGCCGCACCAAGGGCAGCCGGCCGTCCAGGTCCAGCCCGGCCTCCTCCAGGGCTGGGGAGGGGCACAGAGGCCCTGAGCCGGCCACCAGCTCCCCGCCCAGGCTGGAGGTGGCCCGGCCCCCACGGCCCTCACCCACCCCCACCTCCCGCCTCCTCGGCCCACACCCAGGGACTCCCCCCGCCCCCCCGCTGACCCCACTCAGAACGGAGAAAGCTCCAGGCCCTGGGCTGACTCCCGCCCCGCCCCACGGCCCCAGCCCCTCCCAGCCGCCGCCACAGGGCCGATGCCAGCTTAGGACACGGCCCCTTCTCTCCCCTGCTCGGGGCACAAGCTGGACCCGGGGACCCCAAGGAGCTCGCTCTCCCACCAGCTCCCCCTGAGCCCCACAGCAGGTGGCTGGAGCTGGGCGGTCAGCAAGCCCAGAGGAGGGGGACAGGGCGCCCTGGCAGGGGCTGGCCAGCCACGTGTGGGGTACGGGGGCTACTGGAGCAGACCCCAAGGAGGCCGGGACACAGGGCTGCGGGAGGCAGGGGCCGCTCACGGGTGCAGCCTCTGCGGTCCTCGTCCAGCCGGAAGCCAGCCTCGCAGGAGCACCGGAAGGAGCCGGCCAGGTTGGCACAGTGCTGCTCACAGCCGCCACGGCCGGTGACGCATTCGTCCACGTCTGCAGGCAGAGCCGGGCCGCTGGGCCTGCGCTGGGGCCCCCGCCTGCCCCGCCCCCCACTGGACTGGACTGAGGCCTGGACGGCCACTGAGTGGGCAGCACCTCTTCCTAAGCCCACCCTCCTGCCGCATGGCCTGTCTGTCCGTCCCCCTGACTCCAGGGTCAGCACACCTGTGGACACCCTGCCCGGAGGGAACCAGGCTGAGGAGCTGGCCAGAGAGCAGCCATGACCTCATGGAGGGAGTGGACAGATCAGCGCAGCTCTGAACACAGCAGGCACTCACCCCGTGCCCAGAGGTGGACCAGGGGGCAGGCCGGCCCCTTGCCCCCTCCAGGGGGCCAGGGCCAGCCCGTGTCGTCCCTAGGGTGGCCCTGCTCCCCTGGCCCAGCCGCCCGTCAGCCAGGCAGGGCTCACCCTCACAGCTGCAGCCATCAGAGCCGAGCCGGTAGCCAGCGTAGCAGCCACACTCGTACCCGCCGGGGCTGTTGGTGCACACCTGCTGGCAGCACGGGGAGGCGGCACAGTCGTCGATGTCTGGGGGCACACAGCAGGCGCCGCTGACACACGTGTCCTCCCCGGGCCCACGCCACCCACACACAAACCCACACATGCTCTGCAAAGTGTACCACAGCACAGCAACACAGGCACACACCTGCACACACACACCTACACACACCTGCACACACACACACCTGCAGGCACACACCCGTACACACACACCTGCACACACACCTACACACACCTGCACACATACACACCCGTACACACACACACCTGCACACACACCTGCACACACACCTGCACAGCCACACACCTGCAGTCACACACCTGCACACACACCTGCACAGCCACACACCTGCACACACACCTGCACACACACCTGCACACACACCCGTACACACACACCTGCACACACACCTACACACACCTGCACACATACACACCCGTACACACACACACCTGCACACACACCTGCACACACCTGCAGGCACACACCTGCAGGCACACACACACCTGCACACACACACACCTGCAGTCACACCTGCACACACACCTACACACACACCTGCACACACACCCACACACCTGCACACACACCTGCACACACACACCTGCACAGTCACACACCTGCACACACCTGCACACACACCTACACACACACACCTGCACAGTCACACACCTGCACACACACCTGCACACACACCTACACACACACCTGCACACACACACTGAACACACACCTGTACACACACCTGCACACACACCTGCACAGCCACACACCTGCACACACACCTGCACACACACCTGCACACACACCTGTACACACACCTACACACACACCTGCACACACACACACCTGCAGTCACACACCTGCACACACACCTGCACAGCCACACACCTGCACACACACCTGCACACACACCTGCACACACACCCACACACACCTGCACACACACCTGCACACACACACACCTGCACACACACACACCTGTACACACACCTGAACACACACACATGCACACACAGCCACACACGCACCTGCACACACACCTGCACACACACCTGCAGTCACACACGCACCTGCACACACACTGCACACACACACCTGCACAGTCACGTGCACCCACTCACATTGTCACAGCCCCCCACAGTCCTGCTCCTGCACACGCAGACTACGAACACAGGGCACATACACACCCCTGTACACACCCCTGTACACACCCCTGCACACACACACACACCTGCACACACACCTGCACACACACACCTGTACACACCTACACAGCCACACACACACCTGTACACACACCTGCACACACGCACATGCACACACACCTGCACACACAGCTCCAGGGCCACACAGCCTGCTGTGGACAAGAGGCTGATACAGGGACAATCGGGGCCCCTGAGCCTCAGGGTCTCCCCAGGAAGGACCCACGAAGTCCATGGCATCCCAGTCCTCCTCCCTGGACACAAGTCCTCCTCCCAGGACACCGGCCCTCCTCCCTGGACACCGGTCCTCCTCCCCGGACACCGATCCTCCTCCCAGGACACCAGTCCTCCTCCCCGGACACCAGTCCTCCCCCCAGGACACCAGTCCTCCTCCCTGGACACTGGTCCTCCTCCCCAGCCACCGGTCCTCCTCCCTGGACACCAGTCCTCCTCCCCGGACACCAGTCCTCCTGGGACACCGGTCCTCCTCCCAGGACACGGACCCTCCTCCCAGGACACCAGTCCTCCTCCCCAGACACTGGTCCTCCTCCCAGGACACCAGTCCTCACTGGACACTGGCCCTCCTCCCCGGACACCGGCCCTCCTCCCTGGACACCAGTCCTCCTCCCTGGACACCGGTCCTCCTCCCCGGACACCAGTCCTCCTCCCTGGACACCAGTCCTCCCCGGACACCAGCCCTCCTCCCTGGACACCAGTCCTCCCCGGACACCGGCCCTCCTCCCTGGACACCGGCCCTGCTCCCCGGACAGCAGGCCCTGCAGTAGGTGCTGGCGCGGGGCCGGAAAGGGTGCTGACAGGGCTGAGGGGTGCCCGCGGCTGACGCCAGCCCCAGTCTCCTGGGTTCAGGAGCAGGAGGGGCTTCCAGGGCACGGCACCCAGTCAGCCCCGGACTCGGGGTCGGCGAATCCCAGGTCTGGGTGCGGCGGGGCAGCCCGCAGGTAGCGCCTCTCACCGACGCAGGTCTTCTGGTCCTGGTCCAGCTCGTAGCCCCGGGGGCAGGTGCACAGCGGCCCTGCGCTGCTGTGGCTGCAGCCGTGGGAGCAGCCGCCGTTGCCGGTCTCACAGCTGTTCACAATCTCCATTTCGACCCCTGCAGAACACGGGTGTGGGTGGGGTCTGCAGGGCCCCACCCTCCCTGCCTCTGACAAGCAAGCGCCGCCCCGTGGCCAAGGAAGCGTGTGGGATCCCAGGGAACTGTGCTGCTGCCCCGGGCACCCCTGCCCTGGATCCGGCCCCACTGCCCGCTGCCCACTCACGGTAGCACTGCCGGCCGTCAGCTCCCAGCTCATAGCCTGCGTGGCACACACACTTAAAGGAGCCTGCGGTGTTGAGGCAGCCGTGCGCACACTGGGCCACCCCGGAGGCACATTCGTCCACGTCTGTAAGGGAAAGACCACGTGGAGGGGGCGGGGAGGTGGGCGGAGCCTCCGGCTGACCCCACCACGCCGCCATCCTTCTCCCGGGCTGTGGCCACGGGCACAGGCGGTCAGGACCCAGTCTGCTGTGCAGGCGACCGCTCCGGCCATGCCCCCTGCAGAGTCTGAGGGGCCACCTGGCTGGGCGCCCGGAGAATGGACACGCTTCAGACGCCGGAAGTCCCTGGGGCTGGGGCGGAACCCCCGAGGCTGCTCGTCCCAGCCCTGCCTGTGTGATGGGCACAGAGCGGGCGGGGCAACCGAGGCGGCAGAAAGTTCTAGAAGCACCAGCCGCTGAGCCCTGACCCTGATACTGACCCCCAGGGCCTCCACACCCCGGCTGGACGCTGTCCTGTCTCCTGACCAGAGGCCTCCTTAGGCTGCACGGGGACACTCGGAAACAGAACCTGGCCCTTGCTCACCCACGCAGCCTTGTGTGCCCCAGTCCCTGCCCTGCAGAGCCCCCCAGGGGTGGCGCCCGCCCAGCAGGATGCGCTGGGGCGGCCCCGGTCAGCCCTTGGCAGCTGGCTCAGGGCAGGGCGGCGGGGGCGTCCCTACCTTCACAGGCCTTGCGGTCCACGGCCAGCTGGTAGCCCACGTGGCACGCACAGCGCGCGAGGCCCCGGAACACCTGGCACGTGTGCATGCAGCCGCTGTTCCCATCCGCACACGGGCTTCTCCCTGCCGTCACGGTCCCGGGAGGAGGAGGGGTTACAGAGGGAGGTGGGGATGGGCTCTGGGGTTCAGGGCACACGTCTAAGGGACGAAGACGCCCGCCGTCCCCGCATCCTGAACCCCCCCAGGTGCACGGTCCGAGGCCCAGCCCGGCGGTCAAGCCCCACCCCCAACCTCTCTGCGCCCTGGTCAGCGAGCTCCGGCAGGCCCGTCCAGCCCCGGCCCCCCGCTCCGTGTGCTGCCGGAGACACTCACGGACGCAGCGCCTCCCGTCCTGCTGGAGCTGGAACTCGGGCCAGCACTGGCAGCGGTGCCGCGTGGCCGTGAGCTGGACGCACTGGTGCTGGCAGCCGCCGTTGCCCAGGGCACAGGAGTTGAGGGCTGGGGAGCAGACAGGAACTTGGTCAGCACTGGAGGCTGGCCCAGCTGCTGCTGGCCCCTGCCCCGGTGCCAGTGGGAGCGCGGACGGCACAGGCGCCCCGGGACTCCCCGGCCACTGGGAACCCCGCTGCTTTCCCACCTCCAAGAATCAGAGGCCCTGGGAGAAGACGCCACCCCCCACCCCCCGCCCTGGCTGACAAGCCCGGTTCTGCTTTCCTGGCCACCAACAAGGTCCAACGGGATCGTGACTGATGGCCCACGCTCCCTGCAGGAGGCGGCTCTGCACACACGGTCTTGGTCCTCAAGCCAGGGCAAGGGGCCAGTGTGACACCGCCAGGGTGGCCACCATGTCCCCATCTCCCGAGGTACCCTCGCAGGCCAGGCCAGCCCGCACACCTGACCACGTGATGGACATGGGCACCAGGGGAGACCACGGGCCAGCGGCTGGCACCCTCGCCCTCCTGCTCAGACCCCTCAGTGCCCAGGGAAGCCTGAGTCCCCAGGGATGGAGCACAGCTGTGCCCACGGCCGGTCCAGGAGGTGGGAGGGGGCGCTGGGCCCGCACCAGAGCAGCAGGCGGCTTCTTGGCAGGAACCGTGGCTGCGACGGTCTCCGGCGATCTCCGTGTGGTTGGGGGGGGGGGAGTGCGAGCTGGGGGGCAGGGTGCAAACGCGCGTGCCCACGGAGCTGAGCCCGGAGCCCTGAGCGGCAGACCGACCTCCGTAACTAAAGCGCCACAGCCTGGGGGGGGGGCGTGGTCATCCCCCGTGGGCGGCTGGCTCGGCCCAGGCTTGGAGGAGATGCTCGCCACTCAGGCCGGCAGGCACCATGGAGGGGCCGGCGCTCGGAGGCCAGGTTCCTGGCAGCAGTGGGAGCGCGTGAGCCGCCGCGGAGCACAGAGAAGCCTGGGCTGTCGCCAAGGGCAAGGATCCCTGAACACAGCTCGTCCAAACCCCAGCCCTGCCCGCCTGCCACGTGGGGCGTTGGGGGCCAAGCCAGTCAGCCAGCTGGGGTACTCGGTGTCCCGGCCACCGGCCCTGGCGGGGGCAGACCCAAGAGAGCCCATCAGCTTCTGAGCCCCCTCCCCAGGCCCTGCCTCCAACGCCGCACTGGCCCTCCAGGCCACACGGAAGCCCACCTGACTCGCAGCCCGGCCGGCCTCACCTGCTGCGCCCTGCCCAGCCCAGCCCTCCCTGCGGAGGCTGCCACGGGCCCCGGCCGGCCCCACATTCCTGGGGGCTCTGTTTATTTGTGTTCACCACACCAACTGCATCCCGGCCGGCTCGGGACGCGTAATGGGAACCAGAAGCCCTTCCTGGCAGGGCCGGGCAGGCAGGGCTGTGAGCGCGGGGCCGAGGAGCAGGCTGGGCCGGCCCCGCGGGGTCCAGGACGCAGGGCACCGTGGCGGGGCTGGAAGGAAGGGGTTTCCCCGAGGGCTTCCCCCGACAGGCACAACCCCCGGACAGGCCTAGGGGCGAGGCCGCCGGGGCAGAGGGTGGGCTGGGGGCGACCAGGAGGGGGCCAGGGCTCCCCACACCCTGCAGAGCCATCTGCTCGGGCCACACAGCCGGCACATTCCAGGGAGCCCAGCCAGGGTCAGCCGCAAGGCCCACGGACTGCCCGATTCCCGGAAAGCCGCAGGAGCTGGTGGCACAGAGATGTTTCCAGCCCAGCTGGGGGACACACCCGGGGACCCCTGCCCGGGGCCATGGTCTCACGCCTGGTCACAGCCCAGCCAGCCAAGGAGACCAGGCCTGGAGGGAGGTTTGGCGCCCCCTGGGGGCCAGCACCCTGCTCTGTCCTCGACACGCAGCCCTCAGCTGCCTCCTGGGGACAGCGTGTGGTCACAAAGCAGGCGCCACCGCAGCCCCACGTTCGTTCCCTCACGTCTGTGACGCCGCACGGGGCGAGGGCCTGCGGGGCAGTGGTCAGCAGGCCTGCTGGGGGCGTGGCTTGGGCCGTCCTGCCCAGGGCCCAGCGCTGCCGTCTGTTTGACGTCCAGGTGAGACACAGCTGACCACACCTGGGGCGCCTGGGTCCTCCCCAAGTTCTTAGGCTGGAGCCCCCCCGGCCCTCGCTGCGGCTGTGCCTGGAGACAGGGTCTACACGGACACAGTCGAGGTTAAAGGCGCTGACCCCGTGGACCGCCCTGCTGAGAAGACACACAGAACTCAACCTCCTTGCTCTCACAGCCGGCCCTCACCGCGAACAAGCTGGCCGGCACCTGCCCTGCGACCCCCGGCCTCCAGAGCTGTGAGCAGATTGACTGGTGCCTGGCGGTGGCAGCCCGAGCAGGCTGACAACCCTGACCGTCTCGTGACAAACACCAGGTAGGCCGGGTCACCCCATGGCAGCCGGGCTCCTGCAGTCTACAGAGCTGGGCTGCAACTCCACCTTCTGCCAGCAGAGGTCTCTGCTGCTGGACACCCTTCCCCCCAGCCCAGAGGGAGGCCTGGGCGCTCAGTGGGAATGGGGCCCTCCCCAGAGCAGGGAACAGCGTTCTAGAAGGCTCCGCCTGTGCCAGCTCGCTCCCCGCTCCTGCAGGTGCACAGCTCCCGACAGGGGGCACTGTTCCCACACCCGGGACTTGGGGCTTGAGCCAAAGCCAACCCCAGCGCCAGGCATCAGGTGCCATCCAGGGCATCTGGTTTGTCCACCAGGGCCGGGGTCCCCAGGGCGGGCCCACAGGCAGCGGGTCTCACACCGGGGCCCACAGCGGCCCTGCCCACCCCGGGAGCCCGTGGAAGCCCGCTGCAGCCCGTCTCGGGTTGGGAGGGGACGGAAATCCCGTCAGGGCCTCCGCGGCTTTGCAGGGACGAGCTGTGCCGGTGCAGAGCCTCGGGACGGGCGGCCCCCCAGGGCCTCCCCTCTAACAAGGAGCTGAGGGGGCCGTTTCGAGCCCTCCCCCCAGCCTCCTCTGCGTCTTCCAGTTCCTCCAGGGCCCTTGAGCTGGCACTGCCTCGACCGCTGTCCCCCCACGCCCCGGCTCCTGGGGACGGCGGCTGTGGCCTGGGCGCCCTCCCCACACCCCCACCCCCAGTTCCACGACTCCTTCGAGGCCCGAGGCCCGGGAGAGCGCACACAGGGGGATCCCAGCAGGCTGGGAGGCTCTGCACAGCTGGCCACCAGCTGCACCACCTGCCGCACAGCTGGCCACGGGGGCGCGCTCCCATGGGACTGCTTCCTATTAGCATCTGCTAAGGATCCGCGCGGTCTGGGTGCAGAGGGTGCTGCTGTGACCCAGCGCCAGCCCACGCCCCGCACCCGGGACCCGGGGTGGGGGGTGGACGGAGGGCTGCGGGGGTGGGGCGTCACACTTCCCAGGGGCTGGGCATCCAGGCCCAACCCTCAGAGCCCTGGCATGGACTGGGCAGTGACCTCCGGGGGTTGCAGCCAAGCCGGGACAGGATCCCCCGCAACAGGGGAACCCTGAGCCACCCCCCAATCCTGGGCCTGTCTCGGGTCCACTGCAGCCAAGGGCGGTCCCTTTGGATCAACGTCCCTCAGCCTGCCTGGGGAGCAGCCCCCACGTCCATCACAGCTGCTTCTCAGGCCCCACATGGAGGGCTGTGGACAGGGGCCCACGCTGGCCACTCCCAATGCCGATGCACTGAGCACGCCACCCACAGCTCAAGGAATCCCACAGCAGAGTGGGAGGCCACCAGGGGCCAGGGACAAGCAGGGACAAAACGCCCCTGGGAGCCCCGGAGCGGGGGGGACATCAGGGTGGTGCCAGGCAGGGGCGACCAGGGGACAGGGCTGATCCCGCCACAGGTCCCAGCTGCCCCCAGGGACTTCTAGGGAGAGAAGGTGCTTCCCCAGTGCCCCTCGGCCAGACCCTGGGGGGCCCCGGTCACCAGGGCGGTGCTAGCCGACGGGAGGGTGAGCTGGCGTGGGATCCCTCTCAGCAGACAAATGACCGGCGGTGGCAGCAGAGCGACAGCCCCGGGTCCCCGGGTGCGTGAGGACTCGCAGCGACCACACGGCAGCACACAGGTGCGTCTCACAGGTGCTGCCAGGCGCAGCCAGGAGCGGGCCCAGCACCGAGAAGGCCGTGGAAGTCCCTGGGGCTCCCCCTGCTCCAGTGGGGTGCACAGTGCCAGGGCTGATGCTGGAGGGGCTTCCAGGACCACCCGGGGGGCCCTGGCACCTGACCTGACAAGCACCACCAGCCCAGCCTTCTGGGGCCCGAGCGCCCACACAGCACTGGGCGGGCACCAGGCCAAGGCCACCCCTGCCGGGCTTCCTGAGGCCAGCAGCTCAGGGCTAGCCCCAGCAGCTCAAGGTTAGCCCCAGCAGCTCAGGGCTAGCCCCAGCAGTTCAAGGCTAGCCCCAGCAGCTCAGGGCTAGCCCCAGCAGTTCAAGGCTAGCCCCAGCAGCTCAGTGTTAGCCCCAGCAGTTCAAGGCTAGCCCCAGCAGTTCAAGGCTAGCCCCAGCAGCTCAGGGCTAGCCCCAGCAGTTCAAGGCTAGCCCCAGCAGCCACTCCCGTCTGCATGTCCTTCACAGATCCGCCCTGGTCCTGGGCCCGTCCGGGGGTCTCAGTGCAGGCACGGGGGGCACATGTACGGTTTTGATGGAATCTGGGGAGCAGCAGCCCCGCTCACCACGGGGGCCTCCTCCACCTGGGCCAGCCCAGGGAGAGCCCAAGGCCATGGCCACAGGCCGGTCCTTCCAGGGGCCTCAAGGTTAAAGAGCCCCCCCAGCTCCCAGGCGCCCCCTGCAGGCAGCAGGCTGGGCCACAGCCCTGAAGGCTGGAACCTCCCGGGGAACATCTCGGCATTCCTGCATCTGTTTCCACTTTGCGCCCTGCCCGCCCCAGGACACGTGAGTGTGGGCTGGCGGGCCGCCGGGCCCCATGAGCAGGGACCAGGACGAGGCTGCTCAGAGCCGCCTGTGGCCACTCCAATCACCACGGTGGAGAGAAGGGGCGACCCACCCCCACCTCCCAGAGCCTCTCAGGCCGGACGGCGGGGTCAGCCCCGTCCCCAAGCCAGCCGGGACAGGGGCACTGCAAACAGGACAGCTGCCGGCCTCCCCCACCCTGGATTCTGGGGTGCAGCCCCTCCCCCGGCCCGGCTCCTGGCCTCGGGGACCCATGCAGCCCCTCCCCCAGCCCTGCATGGTAACCAGGCCACCGTCTGCACGGCGAAGACTGTGAAGAGGAGACAGAGGGCCGCAGTCCTGCTTCCCAGCTGCCCCTCTCCCCCGGCTCCAGGGGGGGGCACCGGCAGGCCAGGGCGCCTGCTGACCACTGCAGATGGCCCGAGCCTCACAGCGGGAGTCAGTGTGGCCACAGGGGGTGTGTGGCCCAGCTCAGGGTCGGGTCCTTCCTCCTGCCTAGGCCTCGGCTTCCTCACCTGCAGGGGGAGCTGCCGTGCCCTCCCAGGCACAGCTGCCAGCCAGGGCGCCCAGGCCACCAGGAACGACGGGCCCCGGGAGAGCCCATCGGGCGTCGCAGTCCAGGGCACGGGGACTCGACCCCCGCCCAGACATGAGCAGGCCGGGCAGGCACCTGCAGGACACTCACCCAGGCAGGTCCTGCCGTCCGTGTGGAGCCGGAAGCCGGGCTTGCACTCGCAGAGGTAGGAGCCTGGGGTGTTCACGCACCTGTGCTGGCAGCCGCCATTGTGCGCGAGGCACTCGTCCACGTCTGGGTGGGAACGGGGAGAGGGTGAGTAACGGCGAGCGCCCACCAGGGCTGGTTCCTCCCGCCCGGGCCGGCTGGGCAGGAGCAGCAGCCCGCAGCACGCGGGGAGAGGCTGGGCTCCTGGGCCCAGGTACGGGGGGCGTGGCAATTCAACACCCGCGCGGCCCACAGCCAGGAATTCCCATCCCTACTCCACCACCTCCCAGTGCCTTTCACGACTGAACCGGGGACACAGCCAGAGGCTCGGGGCGGTGCCGGCCGCTCTGCTGGGGCCAAGAGTCCAGGAGGACACGACCCTGCTGGGGCCGAGAGTCCAGGAGGTGACGACCCCGCCCAGGCTGAGGAATGGGCACCCCCTGGAACCTCGGAACATGCCCTTGTCTGGAGGCTGCAGATACGGCCAAGCTGGACAGGGAGGGGCCTGGACCCCGTGGTCAGTTTCCTGAGGGGTCACAGTGAAGACCAGGCACAAGAGGGAGCCGGGCGGCCAGGAGCCACGCGTTGTTGGAACCACAGAAGCCAGGGAGGGCCAGGAAGGACCCTCCCCACGGCTTCCGGGGGAGAAGGTTCCGTAGGTGCCCTGAGCTCAGATTCTGGCCCCCAGACCGAGAGGGAAGAGGCTTCTGTTGTCTGAAGCCCCCCCACCCCGCGCCGGGTGTGCTGTCACAGCAACCCCAGGAGACTCTGGCCGGGGGGTCCGCTGGGGACCCCGGCCGGGGAGCGACCCACAGCCCTCCCGCCCCTCCCGCCCCTCCTCGGGGCTCAGCTGCACCGCAGCTCCCTCTCCCTGCAGAGCCCACCCAAGGCGGGGGGCAGGGGCAGAGGAGGGAGGGCGAGGGCCGTCCGATATCCAAGGGGGCTCACGTGTGGGGTCTCCGTTCCCCACGGAGGACAAAGCAGACACTGGCCAAAGGCGGCGGAAGCAGCCCAAGGCCACGGCCAGCCTGCAGATGCCCCCGTCCGCCCCGGCTCACCCCCTGCCCTCACAGCCCTCCACCCCAAGTGCCCTGAGCAAGGCAGGCTGGAAGGACGGGGGAGGCACAGGGGCTGGTGGCTGGGGGGCCCTGGGCAGGGCCGGGCACTCCACTTCCACGGAGCCCCTCCCTCCGTGACCACACGACCGCCTGCAGGCTTGGTCACAGCAAAGCACCGGCCGGAAGCAGCGGGGCCAGGGCAGAGGCTCCTGGGCCCCTCCCCAGGGCCAGAGACCCCTCCCCACCTTCTGCGGGAAGGCAGCTCGCAGCCGGAGGCAAGTCTTCCTCGGACACTTGTGTGTGCGGCCCCAGGTGGGCCCCTCCCAGCCGGCGGGAGAGACCCACGGAGGGGACGGGCAGGGGCTGCACTGGCCAGCACTGCCCAGACAACTCCCCAGGGACCCTAAGGTGAGCATTCCAGCACAGCTCTCCTGGGTGGGGCTGAGGCCTCGGGGTGCCTTGAAACACCAGCCTGGGTGCACTGTGGGGCAGCCCTCCCTGGGCCACGGGGACCAAGGATGACCCACAGAGAGGCCGCGATGACAAGAACCCACCTGCCCAGGGGCTGCAGGGAGGCGGGAAGGAGGCTGCGCTCGGGCAGGGAGAGAGGTGACCGCAGGCCACGGCTGTCACTCAGGCCGGTAGCACCTCAGGCTGCCAGGCTCAGCGGCCAGCAGGAGCAGTGTGGGACACCTGCCATCAGCCCAGAGGTGTGTGGCTGGGGCCCAATGCCAAGGCTGTGGCGCAGGCCCTGACTGCTAGCTGTGCCTTGGTGGGGACATTGGGGGTGGGGCTGGGGGCGTGGTCTCTGCTCAGAGCCACCGCTCCCCTGGGAGCAAACCCTAGGACTTCCAGAGCCAGGCCCCTGCCCAGGGAGGGGTCTCTGCTTGGGACCGCCAGGGTCATCTGGCCCATGCACAGGCCACGTCCACTCTGAGGAGACCCTGGGGTCCCTCCTCAGCCCTAGAGCTGCCTCCGACAAAAGGCTGCCAGCAAGAGCAGGAGCGCCACGGAGCCACGGCGTCACCGTCCCAGAGCTCGGCAAGGGGCTGCGGCGACGGCGGAAAGAACATGAACGCCAACGCTCAGGGGCCCCAGAGCCGGCGTCGTGGGCTGAGCCGCCACCTGCGACACCAGCATCCCTGGTGGGCACCTGAGCCCCGGCTGCTCCACTTCCCATCCAGCTCCCTGCTGATGCATCTGGGAAAGCAGTGGAAAATGGCCCACGTCTGGGGCCCCAGCACCCATGTGGGGGGCCCGGAAGAAGCTCCTGGCTCCTGGCTTCAGCCTGCTCCAACCCTGGCCATTGTGGCCATCTGGGGAGTGACTAGCAAGTGGAGATCTCTCTCCCTTTCTTTGTAACTCTACCTTTTAAGCAAATAAAATAAGTCTATAAAAAAGAGGCCCCCAGCAACCCAATGAAACCAGGAGACAGAGGGCCCAGGGTGCAGTGAGGGTCTCAGGACCCGGCTGGACAGGGCAGGTTGGCAGCACCCAAGGAGGGGGCCCAAAGGGGTGCTCGGGTCCCCGACACAGCGCGGGGCACGGAACACAGTGCAGGGCACGGCAGGTGCGTGGTGAGAGCTGATGGTTCCATAGCGCCCCTCACCATCAGCTAACAGCGCAGCCGAGGGGACCTGGGCCCTGAGGGCAGGGACTCCAAGCTGTCCTCCGAGCTCTGGCCGGCCCTGAGCTGGGTCCTCCACATCTCCCAGGCCAGTCTGGGAGCCCATGCTCAGCCACGCCCCTGGCACTTGGAGGAGTCTGTGGCCCTCAGGCCGGCCTAGGAGCCGTGGTCGCTCTGCAAAGAACCCTGGGGGCGGGGTGGGGGGGCTGGCACGTGGTGGCCCTGACAGTCACAGGGCTGTCCCTGCTCATGCCGGTCTCTGCCAACCCGCCAGCCCTCCTGCAGCCCAGAGCAAGCATCCAGACCCCAGCGTCCCCCTCCCCTACCCAAGGCTCAGCCCAGTGTCTCCCAGCCCCACTGCCTCTGGAACACACAGGCCCTGGCCAGCTGACCTCCCGCTCTGCGGACGAGGCCCCTTTGGGCGGAGAAACAGCCCAGAGTGGTTACCTGGCCCTGTCCACTGCTCCCTCCAGGGCCCACCTGGTGGCAGAACTGAGCTGTGCTCAGATGGCTCCAAGGACCCCCACAGGCGCCGTGCCTGCAGCTGTGGTCCCGGGCGGGCGCCCCGGGCGCCCCGGGCACAGCGGCCTCCAAGGACGCCTGAACAACGCACCCCAGGATGCCCACGGCGTCCCCCTGGGCGCATCCCAGCCAAGGGCCGCTGCAGACGGGGTCACGGCACAGGTCTGGAGACGCCAGGTTACCGTGGTGTCGCGGGGAGGGCACAGGGTCAGCCCAAGACCTTAGGGGCCGAGAACACAGAGGGTGAGGATCCGGCAGAGGCCAGGGGGCACGTGTGCTGCTGGCTTTGAGGACAGAAGGGGGCCACAGGCCCAGGAACGCAGCAGCCCCTGCAAGGGGGCAGCAAGGTGTGGACCCCCTCGGAGCCCCCGGGAAACCTGTCCCGAGGACGCCCACAGCGGGCGCTGAGCTCCACAGCGGCCGGGCCATGAATCCACGTGGCTCTAAGCCACTCAATGTGTGGCCACCGTTACAGCGGTCACGGAAACCGGCCCAGGACACATCCGGGGCAGCAAGGCCCAGAGGCTCACAACCGAGCAAGGCGTCCTTGGTCCTGCATCCCCTGGGCGATGGTCATGGCCAGGCTCGCAGGAGCCACCTGCCTCCCCCCACCTCCACAAGCTGTGCACCCTCCAGCCACACAGCACACCCACAGCACTGAGTGGGACCAGTGCCCCATGCCAGCCCGACGGCACATCCCACAAACACCGGGAGCCGACACCCGCCCGTGCCAGGGACCAGCCCATCCACTGCCCCATCTCCAGGCCCAGCCCACAACCCCGGGGCAGCCCAGGGAGACGCACGGGGCAGCCATCCGGTCCCCTGGTCCAGCCGCTGCCCCTGGTGCCTGGGGGCTCTGGCAGCCTTGAGCCGGATGGGCAGCACGCCCTTGTGGCCTCGCTGTGCCAGCAGGGCCAGTTCCCTGGGAGCCTGGCGAGACCTGCCGTGTCTGTCCAGCAACGGGAGCCCACGAGGCCTTCCACCAACCGTCACTGTGTCCTCCCGGCAAGGCTCACGGGGCAGCTGGGCAAGGCCGGGCTGCCGCCACGCAGCCGCTGCAGGAACCACCGAAGGCAGTCCCGTTTGGGACTGCCGGCACTTCCAGGAAATGCAGGGCCCTCGGAGATCCCGCCAGCCTGCGCTTCCCCGGGGCGGCCACCAAGTTCAGAGTCCTGCCTTGTCCCCAGACGCGCAGGGAGCACACGTGATCACCCACAACCCTGCGCTCTCCCGGGAGAGCAGGAGCTGGCCAGGAGCAGGGCAGGGCAGGGCCTCAGCTCGCCCAAGCCAGCCACGCCCAGCCCGAGACTGGATGCTCCACATTCGGTGTCACCACTGGTGGGGAGACAGGCTGGCCTGGCCCTGGCCCTCCTAGTGGGAGGACGGCGCAGGGGAGGCGGGCAGGGAGCCTGCGGCCCAGGGCTCCACGTGCCCTCCAGGCGCAGAGCCAGCCGGTCTCCAAGGAACCACAGGTGGGAACACCTCTGGCTGCCTATTGCCCCCCACCCCCATGATGCGGGCGATGGCCCCCCGGGCAGCTGCACACACCACACGCCCCGCCCACTCCTGATGGTGCCCCGCTCCAAGCCCTGCAGGTGTCCGGAGCTGGCACCAGCTCCTCCTGCAAGCAGCAGGGGCCCAGGTCAGGCTGCTGGGCTCCCAACGACACGCAGACCACTCAGTGCCGAGCCTGCAAGCTGGGGAGGGAGCCGGCAGGAGACCACACACACACAGCCCCCAGGGATCCCGGAGAGGGAGACCCACTCTCCGCTGCCGCCCTCCTGCGGACCCCCCAGCTGTGGGTGCAGAGGAGGGGGCACCCCTGGGCCGCCCAAGGACAAAGGCAAGGGGGTTTCTCCTCCCTCGAGCCCAGTGACCTT